CTTGAAGGGGGAAGAGGGGGCTCCCTCCTCTGCTGAAGTGGTCCAGTGAGTCGAAGAGGAGCTTCGGGTTGCATGCCATGGCAGGGGAGGTTGCACAAGCAGAGAGTGCCCCCTGAGCCTAAGCCCTGATCTCCCTGCCTTACCCATCCCCTCCGCCCTCCTTTGAGAGGGACGCCCTTCCCCTCCCCTGGTGGACCCTGCAGGCTGCCTTTCACCCACACCCTCAGCCCCACTCCATTCCTCCCTGGGTGCATCTCTTCTCCATTGTGGAAGGAAGGGAGCTTGATACTGCTCACACAGTGTGAGGCCAGAGCATTGTTGCAAGGAGGCCTTGGGGCCGCTCTGCTGGCCCTTGAGCCAGGGAGGAGGGGCAGGAGGAGGCCTCTTTGCTTCCATTGAGCTGACCATGCTGGTGCCTCCCCATGGAGGAGGCGAGGTCTAAGGAGGCTGCAGTGTGACACCTCCCAGATGGCCGATCAACGCTTTTAGGGGCCGCGACTCCCAGGCTGAGAAGCGCTGTATTAGAAAATCCCAGACAAGAATTGACTTTGTAAATGAGCTATTTTTCAAAAATTAGATATAATTGAGATGTGATTTGGCTTTTGGTAGAAGTGAGTGAAACAATATTCCATGGGGAATGTGAGTGCAATTTCTAATCAGCTGTGCTTGGCACATAGGATTAAAATCCCCAGTAACCAACAGCCTTTAAAGAGGTTCCCTGTAGCAATACACTGTAACTAATGCTTGTACACACATTTTCTTCCTGCTACCTGTACAGATAAGATGTTTCCAATACATCTATAGCATAAGAAAATGTAATCAATTAAATGCCACATTTTTTTACTAGTTATTGGATGGGACCAATGGACAGATAGACTCTTACATACTACCACATCATATTTTTATGAAAAGTGGCTGAGAAGTCAAACTTACAGAGCTTTGAAGGTATGCACTGAAATTAAGGGCGTTTATGTAAGTGTTATTTATACCTGTTTGCTTACCATAGCTGTTTGCCAGTGTTCTCTACCATCTGTCTATCTATCTATCTGAGAAATTCCAGTGTGAGAAATTCCAATTATATAGAGTCTGTAAGTTTGCAGTGAAACTATCAAAAGTGTTTGGATAAGTGTCACTGTTTGTTTGCCTGAACTGTTAACAACACCTCTCCCCCTCTGTCTGCCTGTCTGTCTCATCTGGTCTCCACAACATATTTTTCAAAAGTCTCTGAAATAGGAAAAGTAGAATGAAACACACTCTTCATCTTCAATTGTTAATCTTCACAGTCTTGATGCATCATATTTTATTTCATTAATGGAGAACAGTATAATTTAGACATAGTTCTTCTCTAAGCATTGTTTTCAGTATAAATAATATGAAATTTTAGCAATTTTCTTCCCCCTTCAAGAAAACCTTGAAGGATAGATAGATAGAGAGAGACGTAAATTAATTTGTTTTAAATTGAACTTTTTGATATCTCTTCTTTTCTTCAGATGTATTGTTGAATTTCAGATGTATTGTTGTAGAGAGAATTCAATTTATGTTTAAAATTGAACATTTTTTTCCCAGATGTACTGATGAATGTATAAATAGTGTGAATACTGTCTTTTTCCGTATCATCTGAAGCACAAAAGATTGTATAAGGAAATAAATATGGGCCGGTTGTGTAATGGCTAAAGGATTTTTGATCCAGGAATTGGGGAAATGTTCTATTCAGGCTGTGATTTCTGTTGCCCTGAGAGTGTTCTTATTGTTAAAGCCAGTGTAGAAGAGATAGTGTAACTCTCTTAGCATCTCTGGGACAGCAAACAAGCACAATTACTTCACTACTGGTGTGGCAAAATAAGTCTTGTATATTTTTAAGTTTTATTAGAGTTCTTGGTTAAACTTAAACTATACCAACAGCTTAAGAATTCATGTTTCTTTTTCTCCATAGGTGTTATATATGAATTGAAGACAACATGTACAATCGTTCTTCTACATCCAGTTTTCTGCTGCTGGAGTTCTCAAATATCAGAGGACTGCAGATTTTACACTTTTTTGTCTTCCTAGCAATGTACTTCATTGCACTGACAGGGAATCTTCTCATCATCATTGCAATTCTGACAGATTACCAGCTACACTCCCCCATGTACTTTTTTCTTTTCTGTTTGGCTGTGATGGACCTTGGTT